CTTCACATCAATTACCTGTAAACCCAAGATTTACAAGGGTTTCAGTTTCCATTATCGGGCTAACAGTTCAAAGTTGCATCACCCACCCTTAGAAAATAAAACCATCATACAAGACCTATACTCCCTGGAGGTAATTGCCAAAATAGCTCTATGCATATCATATTGGATTCTACTTCATTTTTACTATCGGTTTTAGTCTTCCCAAATTTTTGTCTATATTTTTTTGAGGTACATATAGAGGACAAGATATCTTAAGCTGTCCTAATTGCTTGACTTTATTTTATATATAACTAATATTTTACTTGTGATTTTAATTCAAAAGCTCTGGTAATTCACTTTCGCAAATAACTTTGATTGTCACTGATAATAATTGTGACTTGCTGACAAAATACTATGAATACATCTCTTTCCCCTCATGCAGGCAAACAAATCCTTAAGTTTTGTGCATGCTAAGCATTAATTCCAGCCCAAATGATTATATTTTAATATATTTGAAACTCTGACACAGCAAGCATCTGGATTAGTTGAGTCAAATTTCTCAGTGTAGTATGGAATGTTTAAAGAATGTAACTTAGGGGGCTGGAGAGATGGCTCAGTGGTTAAGAGCATTGCCTGCTCTTCCAAAGGTCCTGAGTTCAATTCCCGGCAACCACATGGTGGCTCACAACCGTCTGGGATGAGGTCTGGTGCCCTCTTCTGGCCTGCGGACATACACACATATAGAATATTGTATACATAATAAATAAAAAAAAAAAAAAAAAGAATGTAACTTAATGATACTAGTTGCTTAGGGGCGAATTTATTGTTAAGTTTATTAATTTAAACATGCATTAAAAACAAGTCAAAAGCATCACTTTTACACAAAAGTCAAAGTATTTTACACAAGCATCACAAAACATGTTAAGTTGTTACAACACTAAAAAGATCTTAAAAGATTTTAACTTAAGCCTCTAGCTTTAAGTTTTCCACTGAAACCACTCAGTCCTATAAAAATGTCACTGTTTTATATGAATAATTACATTAAAAAACCAACAGAGTTTGGGCAAGGTACAGCAGACCTGTAATCCCACTCAGGAGACTGTTTTAGATGATGAATTAAAGGCCAGTCTGGAGATACAGTGGACAATCCTGTCCAAACAATCCCGAGTTGTTACTTATCACCACTTGCACTAATTTTGGCAAATTTCTACTTGAGAGTAGAATTTTAATTTTTTTACAGTCATGGTTAACCTACATATACCCTTTCTTAGGAAGCATTTGTACATATTTTTCTGGACCTTTCCGGTATCATGATGAATTATGTACCTGGCAGCAGACATACCAGTGTCTACTTTGGAATAATCCTGTGTCTGAAAAAGAATTAAACAGAATTTGAAGAGCTAACTTCAGTACAGTTTAGCCCTGTCCATCAGACAGATATCCTACTCCCACCCCCAAAAGCTTAGAGCCCCTCAGAATCAACGCTAATCTAAGGAAAGATTATCATTCCCCTGCCCAGTCTTTCCTACTCATTTGAAATCGTCTCCCACTGCGTGCCTTGAAGAAAGAAAGAATGAACGAACACACACACACACACACACACACACACACACACTCTAGTGGACTGGGGAAACCTTTTAAAAAGGATTGCTAATTAACAGAAGTGTAAAAAAAAAACTGGTGGGTGTATGGTTCAAGCCTTTAATCCCAGCACTTGGGAGGCTGGGGCAGATGGATCTCTGAGTTCGAGGCCAGCCTGGTCTACACATCGAGTTCCGGGACAGCCAAGGATACAGAATGAGATGCTGTCTCCAGTAAATAGGTAAATGTAAAACTACCAAAGAGCATATTTCATTCCAGCCATATGGCTTTCGGCAATGTCCCTCGGAAGGAAAGCACGAACTCATGCTGGCTTCTAAGATCAAGTGGCTATCTGGGTCTGTCTCTGCCACCTGTAAATGTAGCCCAACAATAAAGGCCCTTGTGCGATCAACTGGACCTGTTAGAATCAGGAGGACTTTTTAATTCTGATTTAACAGGATTCAAACTGGCTGTCCGGGAGGGGTAAATGCCTCTCTTCCACACATCCGTGGCCTCCATAAATATCACTTCGAGGAAGACGCTGCCTTTCCTCTGGTCTCTCTGTTCTAAGGCAAATGCCACGAAGACCTAAAAGCGCTCATCGTCAACTGTCAAGGCTCACTTTTCGGTGCAGGAGATGAACAGGTGGGGTACAAAGGTGAAGCCGGATACGCACCCCCCCCCAACCCCAATCAATCCCGGTGCTTACAGCAGAGGGAATGACCCGGACGAGCGGGTTGCGTGTAAAGGCAACGTGCTGTGCAAAGGGCTCCCCGAACCTCGGACCCCCACCTGAAAAACGAGTGAGTAGGGAAGGGCCCAGCTCCACTTCTTGGATGGGGAAGCTGAGGAACGAGGCCTCGCTGGGAGACCCAAGGCGCTCGCAGCGGAGGACCAGGAGCTGATGCTCACATCCCGACTTCCCCCGCCCCTGCGATGGAGCAAGCGGGCCTCCGCCCGCCACCCCCCAACTTACACACACACCCCCCTCCCCGGGGAGCTGCGCGTCTCCGCAGGTTCTAAGGGCAGGGTCAAAAGACAGGGCTCCGGAGCTCTCCCGCCGCGATTCGTAGCCAAAGAGCGTTGGGAGCGTGCGTGCTTCCAGTCCAACATGGCGGCGCCGCGGCCGCCCTCCCACCCCCCGAGCCTCCCTTGGGCCCGAGGCTTTCCCTCGCCGCCCTCCGATGGGCGGGAAGGCGGCCCGCACCCGCCGGACCCCTCCTCGCCGCTGCCGCTGCTTGCCGGAGGCGTCACTTACCCGACATGCCTAACAGCCGCGGCGCGGAGCCCCCACGGCCCGCGGAGAACAAGGGAAACGAAAAGCCAGGCGGCGCGGCTGCTGGAGCTGTTCTGAGGGCGGCGCGGCGGGCTGAGGCCGACTGCGGGACCGCGGCAGCCAATCAGCGCGCGGCGGACGATACCACCGCGTCGCGGCCGGAGGGGTGGTCCTACCCCGCTCGGGTCCGCCGACCCCGGCGTCTCTCCCGGATCGCCCCTCCGGGACCGTACCATTATTGAGAGGGAACTGAGAAAGGAAAGTACCAAAGCCCTCGTGGGGCTAGGGGAGGCGGCCGCGCAGACTCGCGCCCGTTTACAACCCCAGTTCTAATTGTATTGGGACGGGCAGAATTGTGAGCTGTGAAAGCGAAAGAGGAGGCACCCTTTTCCCCAGTCAGAGCTATTGGCCTGGGAATCGGGTTTCTTTCCTCTAACGTCGGGAATGGTGTGACCGGCCTCGCTCCGGCTCTGGCTGCTGAGCTTGAAGCCACTTGGGGGCGTTCCGAGTCTGAGGAGCGCGCGGGACGAAAGTCGTGACGAGCTCGGTTCCCGATCACCTCCAGGCTTGCTCGAACTGCCTTGTCCAGTAAAAGACAAGGTGAGACGAGGACAGAAACGCGAGTTCAGTATAAATCACGCACAGACCTGACCCCAGGAATAAGGTGGTGCGGGAATCGCGCTTCTCAATCCTTTATAATAACAACTATTTGTCGGCGTCTTACATCATCTCATTTAATTCTCGCAGCAACTGATGAAATATTTCCTCCTGGTTGCGGATAAAAAACGAACAGACTGAGGTCGTGTGGCTTATAAGGGCAAAGGTGGAATTTGGAAGTCTAGTAACCCAACCCCACTGCTGAGGGCTTTAACGTAACGCTGTACAGTAAACTCTGTTGGAGAAAGGGCTTGGAAAACTAAGAGAAGGACATTTCCCCGAGTGAGTGACATCAGAACCAAAGCCTGGGTGATGAGTTAATCAAGTTGAAGAAGTGGGCAAAAGATCTGTCCAGAGTTGTAGAACAAGTAACTTGATATGTTTGGAGTGTCGCCTGCAGGGGAGAATACTAGAATATTCCAGAAAAGTAGGAGGCTAAATAGCAGAGGCCTTGTAGTTTGAACTTTATCCTGAAGGTGGTGGATCCACCCACTAGAGACTTAAGAAGGGTGAGATCAGATACGTATTTCCCAGCTGCAGAATGAAGAACAGGTTGGAGATGAGAGACGTCTAAAAGTGTGTGTGTGTGTGTGTGTGTTGAGAGTAGGGGCGACTGAGAATATTGCTCAGTATTAAAACTGGCCTAACATGCTTGAGTTCCTGGGTTCAATTCCCAGCACTGGTAAATATTTTTTTTTTTCAGCCCATTGAGGTAGCACATGCCCATTAATCCCAGCATTCGGGGGGCAAAATCAGGCAGACCTCTGAATTTGAGGCCAACCTGGTGGACATGATGAGTTCCAGGACACACAGGGCTGGCTACAAAAAGAGACCTTGCCTCAAAACAAAATTCAAAATTTTAAGCAGAGAGATCACGCCACTGGCCAGTGCAGTGGTTGTAGTGAGAGATCATAGTGCACTGGACTCGAAGTAGCTGTGGAGGTAAGGACAGAAATCACGGGCACACTTAGGAGGAAATGGTGATCAGTGCGTGTGCAAGGAGCTGGTGCAGAGAGTTTTAGGGTTTCTGTATACACAAATGGGCAGGTGGAGGTGTCACTCACTGGACTAGGGACCATGGGGAACAGATTCGGATAGAGTAACTAGTTCAGAAGTGATACTTGAGGTCAGAAAAGGGCATGAGGTCATTTCTCCTCATTATGCCCTCAACTGTATAGACAAAAGATTATAAAAAAAAAAAAAAAAAAACCTCCAGATGGGTACAAACAAGCAAAGCTAAAGAAATAAGTCTTCCACTATTACCAGCCATATAACTTAAGCATCTGTAATGAGGAAAATAACCCAAAGGAGAAGAGCTTTTCCTGTAGCAGGAGAGATTCCGGCCTCAGGAGGAAGAAAGAGATCTGGGTTAGTTTTTTTGTTTTTGTTTTGTTTTTAATTTTGAAGAAAAAAAAAGCAGTGTCGTTCGGGCTGGAGAGATAGCTCAGCGGTTAAGAGTATTGACTGCTCTTCTAGAGGACCCAGGTTCAATTCCCAGCACCCACATGGCAGCTAACAACTGTAACTCCAAGATCTGACACCCTCACACAGAGATACATACAGGTAAAATCTAATGTACATAAAATAAAAACATAAATTATTTTTAAAAAAATGTTGTTCATCTTTGACTGTTTATGTTTATATCCTTATTTGTTCACTTATTCATCAGTCTCCCTTTCCTAAGGCTGCTCTGTGTGTAGAACCTGGAAAGTCCTAAAGACAGAGACGGAAACCCAGCTGCCACCCTCCAGAAACGACAGTCGCATAATTGGGTTGGTGCAGACCTAGAGTTCCTACTGGTTGTTGGAATTGAATATTCTAGAGTTGGAAGATGTTCTAAAAATAGGACACTTCGTCTATAGGAAGGTAGGATTATCAAGGAAAGATCCCGCACGAGGTGCCTCCTGAAGCAAGCTTTGAAGGAAAATTAGGAATTAGCTGGTGGGTATTCCAAGCAAAATAGGCTGCATTGGTGATCCTGAGAGAGAGTGCTTGGGGGCACTGTAAGTAGCCCTGATTTGCTTGTCACTGGAGTTGTAGGGATGGGGGATGAGAAGAAATGCCGTGTCAGAAGTGGGCACCATGTGGACATGGAGATATATGTGTATAATCCCAGCACACGGGAAACTGCTGCAGGAGGATCCTAAGTTTGAGGTCAACCTGGACAACAAAGACCGTGTCTCAAAAGAAGGGGCGGGGGGGGGGGGGCAGAAGCTACTCTGAAAGGCCTTGTATGCTTTATGGTTGACTTTGGGCATCACAATTTAAAAAGGGGTAAACTTGAGGGCCAGTGAAATGGCTCATCAGGTAGCCACTTTCCACCAAACCTGACGTGTAAGTTTTTTCCTTGGAACCTGCATGGTAGAAGGAGAGAACCGACTCTTGCATGTTGTCCTCTGACCTGTGCATACATTAATTAATGATCAGTTAATTAGTTAAAGAAGAAAAGTGGGAGCTTCTGAGGAAGTTAACTTAGGAGTGACAGTTTCCTGTCTCCATTATCTCATTTTCAGGACAGACTTGTGAAACAGGGATAACCCTGAAACTCTGAGAGGTGAACGTGTTGATCAAGATCCCATGGAATAGCAGCAGAGCTCCTGCCAGCCTTTGAACTGAGGTCAGTGATCTGTGCAGTGTCCCTGTTCTCCAAACTCGAAACTCCTCCCATGTCTGCTCTGTTCCAGGGCCTCCTCCACTACAGATGAAGCCCTGTGCCCTTCTGCCTACCAAGCGTTTGCCCCCTAGACGAATCGAGTGGGCCCTGATGATATCTACAGCAAGCTTTTGTCTTCACCCACTTAAAGCTTCATGGTGACTCTCCCTTCTCTAGTGGCGTCCACTCGCCTGGCTTGATCTACACACTGAGAGGAGAGAACAACAGCTTCAGCAGGATGTTTCTGGGAAGTTTCATTTCTGGGCCTCTTTGCCCCTGATCTATTCCCCATGGCCTCACAAGAGGTCCTGCCCTCTGCAACCCCCTCACCCACCCCATGATGGGTGGGTGTTGGGTTGGCTGTGTGCCCAGAAAGCTATAGGCACTAGGTTTAATCCTCAGCCATGCAAAAAATTACTTTAAATTAAATATTGTGTAATTACTACCACTGGAATTGGTAAGAGGCTGAGGAGAAAAGTACGAAGATGAGCGTTAAGATCCCCAGGACCCATGTAAATGCTGGGCCATTATGGAGGTCTGCCCGGAATCCAGCATTTGGGAGGCAGACCCGAGCCCAGGGCAAGCTGACTAGCTAGAGTAGTCAAATCAAGTGTGCTCCAGTTTCAGAAAGAGACCCTGCCTCCATAAATAAAACAGAGGGCAATGAAAAAAACACTGGACTTTAACCTCTGGCCTCTTTATGTGGCAGTTTTCTCAGGGATCGAAACATTCTACCTGCAGAGACTCTTCTTAAGATAGGAGGTAAATAATTCCAGACAACCTCTAGAAGTCCTGGAAACTGACCAGGCTTTTTTGCCTTAAGACTATGTAAGTGACTCCTGAGTGTTGCTCTCAGGCAAGCCAAGCTGCAAAGAGGATTCTCAGACAAGCCCAGCTTCCTGGAAGAGGCTCAAAGTATCTGAGGCACTAGGAAAAGACACATTCCAGCCTGTTGAGCTGCCTGCAGGCTGTGCAGTATGCACCAGGTTTCCAGCTTTTGTGAGCTGTCACCCATGCGAGAGTGGGTTTTGGTGATGTAGCTGTCTTCAAGTGATTTCTGTTCCTATAAGTCATAATCCCACCTTCATACTTTCTATAAATAACCCCAGTGGAACTCATTGGCTCACCAAGTTGTACTTTGGTGTATCCATACATTGGTCTGTATTCCCTTTCAAGAGTGAACAAGCGTGTGTGTTTGTCTTTCCAGGAAAAGTTTGTCATATCATACCTCTACATATGCATGTGCACCTGTGCGCACACACTTAATACACATACCAAATACACACACACACATACAAAACATAGCCTTTGTCAATGCGAAACTGATAAGAAGTCAGACTGGAGACGAAACACAAGGAGAAATGGAGGTCACTCCATGGGAGTTAGCCGAGCTTCAGGTTCCACTGGTGACCTGAGCTCTAGCCCCTGCCTCCTGGAGGAAGGGAAATGTTCAGAGTCCTGATCCCTGGCTCCAAAATCCACCCCTCCCCTTTGTCCTTCCAGTTCATGGCTCCTATAGTCCTATTACCACTGATAACTTCTATGTTGCCTCTGCTGCCGGGTTAGCTCCCTAGCTCTTCCATCATTGATGCAATCCTTGCAAGGACATTTTTAAGGACTGGAGATTTAAGTAGGGTGAGAGGAGAAGCTGTCAGAGCTATTTGAGCAGAGGTGTGACCTGTTTGGCCAGGATTTCTCTGGCTGCTCTTTTCAAAATACAGTCAACTGCAGGACACACAAGAGAAGCCAAATGAAGTAATTGCTCAGAAGAGTCACACGGAGGCCGCAGTGAGATCCTGCGGCAGTCACAGGATTTTAGGCTTTCCATTTTTTTTAGTTTGTTCTGTGATATGTGGCATACTTCTTTCTGAACCTAAAGCACCCCATCACAATACCCAAAACAGTAGGCATTTCTAAAAAAGCTTATTTATTTTGATTTTATGTGTATTGAGTATTTTGTATGCCTGGTGCCTTCAGGGGTCAGAAGAGGGCATTAGATCCCCGGGAACTGGGGAGTTCTAGATGATTGTGAGCTACCATGTGGGTGCTGAGAACTGAACCCGCGTCCTCTGGAAGAGCAATAAATAGTCTTAGCAACTAAAGCCAACTGTCTCTCCCAGCTCTAACATTATGCATTTTTTAAAAGGAAGTGGGGGAGGGGGGCTGTGTGCAATGAATGCATAAATAGGAGTAGCACCACACAGAAATGGCCTGCCTTTCTGGCTTGTGTGTGAACTCCTCCATCTTGAAGAGTTTATCGAGAACTGTCCTATGGCTCCCAGGAGGCACAAGTGAGTGTCTCATGAGTGTTTGCTGAAAGAAGGACAGCTGCTCCGAGCCAAGTGCCACAGGCAGTGTGTAGCCATTGTCAGCACTCTACCCCTTGTGAGGGAGGTGTCCCTGGGACCCAGTTCCTGCAGCCTTCCTCGAGAGCAGGCTTTCCAGCTGCAGCAGGAGGCTACCCAGTCCTCCCACCATGGCAGGCGCTTCCTGTTTAGGGTGGAAAGGAACCAGACACTTTCCTGTTAGCAGGTCTCTTAAGCAAAGCAGCAGCTGCTAGCAAGAGACTGGCCCAGTCTTGCCGGCCAGATGCCTGGCGGGCAGACAGCCTTTATGTGGAAGGGAAGTGGGGCACAATGCCAGACTGGCCCAGCTTTTATTGTGTTCCTTGCAAGTCCCCAGGGTCCTGGTGTGAGTAAAAAACAAACCAAGAAGAGGCCGAGGCTTTTACTAAGCTGTGATGAGGGATGGGGTAGTGGGGCCGCTCCAAACTGAGCACTGCGTGGGGAAGAAGCGCTGTGATTGTTCTGCAGTATGTCGTCTGGGCTGTGAGCGGGTCCATGTATGGAAACGGCACAGGGTTGGGGTGAACACTTGTGTCTGTGCAACCCATCACCAGTACTTGGCAGGATTCAGGCTGCTAATGATCCTGCTCACTCCTCATTGCTTGTCAGGGGCTTGGGGAAGAAAAAGACAAGAATTCTCTTTGTCCCCCTTGAGGAATGGCAGAAACTCAAGAGTTGTTAATTTACAAAGGTCACACAAATGTGAAAAATAGCCAAGATTCAAAGCCAGGTCTGCCTCGTGTCTTGCTTTTCCCTGATCAGAGAGAGAGAATGAGATCCGAAAGTACATAGGCAGGTGCACTTGTGAAGGCGTCTAGACTGAGAAGGCCATGCCCACTGTGCTGGATAGGGGGCTTCCCTCTGTTATAGGCAGAGGTGATTGCTAGAAAGTGGGGAATTGCATCGCTAAAAGCTCAGCGGCCTCTGCCAGTGGTAAGTCTTTTCTCCACCAAAGCCCGCACCAACCAAGGGAAGCCTCGCCAGCTCCCTCCAGCTCCTCTCCGGTCCTCACTAGTCCTCAGATTTTGTTGGTTTGGGGACTCCTTGAGGGTGGTCCTCCTGTGACCAACTTACTTGGGAGCTCAGAATCCATCCCTTCTGGTAGAATCTACTTTGTGTTCTGCAAACTTCCTGGGGAGGAGGAAAGCGCAAAGACAACACTGGCTGTTCTTGTTGTACAGAGGGAAACTGAGGCCTAAAGGTTCCGTGTCCTGGATTATACATCTTGCCTGGTTCAAGGGATCTGCTGTGACCCTCTGCCAGAACGGGAGGAATGGCCTCTGACAGCTACTCCCCTTGGCACACAGCATGCCCAGGCCTGGCATGAGTTCCAGAGCTCTGTCCACTCTGGGAGGATTGGGAGGCTCTAAGGAGCTGAGCCAAACCCCAAGTTCCGCAGGAGGAAGGGTGGGGAGGGGGCAGCTCTCTTTGAAGAGGACACGTGGTGAATGCTACCAACACTGCTGGGTCAGAATCAGAAACCACCCAGTAAAGAGAGGATAAGAAGGAAGACAAAAACAAAACCATTGGAAAACTCAGAGCTGATTTCCTCTTGGGCACTGCTAGTATTTAGTGTTTAGTGATTCTTTAAGTCTGCAGTAAACCTCAGAAATCTGAATGTTCCTGGAAGGGGAAAGGGGGGGGGGGTTGTGTTCTGGAGACTGAACCCAGGGTCTTGTGCTTGTTGGGCAAATACTTAACCTCTAAGCTATAGCCCAGCCCAGGAGCCAGAATTTTTAGTAAGTGTTTCTGTGAGGGACCTAAGAACCACATATCATGCGTTCCACTTGATGGATGATAGTGCTGTGTTCTAAAGTTACACCATTCAGGTTTGAATCCTGCCTCCGTTACTAGAACTATGACCTTGGGCAAATGATGGGATCCTTAAGCCTCATTTTCCTCATCCTTTAAAATAAGAATGCGTAGGATAGTAGCTTTCTCCTAAAGAAGTCACAGGGTCTTTCTGTGTAGCCCTGACTGTCCTGCAACTGGCTCTGTGGACCAGCCTGGTCTTGAACTCACAGATATCCACCTGCCTCAGCCTCCCAAGTGCTGGGATTAAAGGCATATGCCACCACATCCGGCTCTCCACCAAAAAAGATTTCTTTTAGGGGCTGGAGAAATGGCGCCACAGCTAAAAGCACTGGTTTCATTTCCAGCACCTCCATGGCAGCTGACAACCATTTGTAACTCCAGTTCTACTCAATCTGATGCCCTCATTTGCCCTCCAAGAACACTGCACACATGTGATGGACCTACATACATAAATACAGGCAAACCATCCATACACATAGAAAAATTTTAAGATCTTTATTTTAAAATATTCAGTTTTAATTATGTGTGTACAGGTGGTTGTGTGCACGTGGATGCTAATGCCCTCAAAGGTCAGAAGAGGGTGTCAGATCCCCTGGAGCTCCAGTTAGAGGCAGTTGTGAGCACCACCCGATGTGGGTGCGGCAAGTTGACCTACTGTCCTTTGCAAGTGCAGCAAGCGCTCTTAACCGCTGAGCCATTACTCTAGGCGCTGATGCGGTGGTGGTGGTGGTGGGGGGGATCTTGTTGCTGTTGTTTGTTTGTTTGTTCCCATAATAGCACAAAGGAGACAAGGTCAAGTGGAACAAGGTAGCTCCCAAAGTCAGCAATGGTACTAGTGTGGATGGGATTGCCCTGGGATTCACAGAAAGAGAATCAGCTATCTGTGTGGTCAAGCCTGTATTCTTGCAGATGCTTGGTTATCTAGAGATCCACAGCTCCCTCTTCCCCTTTCTCAATAGTGCAGCTGAAATGAACTCTGGGTATGCTGGAATGGAGAGAATGTGCTAGATGGGGAGAATCTAGCTGCAGAAAGAATCAGGTCAGACTGGACTTCTGCTAGGAGTCTACTCTCAGATAGGTGCCCCTTACTGATACTTCCCAAAGCTCCCTGATCTAAAGAAGCGCTTCCAGGCCTGTTAGAATACACCCATT